TTGGCGTTTTTTGCCTTTTGCTTCTGTGCTTTCCCTTAGCAATTGTCTATGTCTGCTGGTTTTCCTGCTCCCCCCTGCAAATGGTGGGGAGTGAGGAATCGTACCTTCAATTTCTTGTTATATTTTACTTCACCCTTTCGTCTTCTTTTCATCTTCTTATTAATAATAATAATATAATTATTATTATTATTATTAATTCCCTAAAAAGAGTAATAATAAAATAATAATACCGAGTAATCTTTTAACTCCCAAAAAACCTCACTCTTTTTATTCCACTCTATTCTGTGTGTGTATATATATAGACTCCATTTCCAATTCCCTCTCATCATTATAGGAATTTTTTTTTAGCATCCCACTCAGTTTCTTGCCCCCTTTTTTTTCCTCCCACTTTTCAGTGGCAGTCATTTGTTTTCCACTGTTTCCCATCCTTTTTCTTGGTCGTATCATTTCTTGAGTGGGTCTGCTGGTTTGATTCCCACCCAGGTTTTTTCTTTCTTTCCTGATGCTATTCCATTGAGGAAAACAAGAAAGAAAGGTTGAAAGAAAAAAACCCCCCAGCAGAAACCTCACTTGGTGGGTTTAGTTTTTGGATGGAAATTGATCTGAACCACGAAGCCAGGGAAGAAGAAGAAGAAGAAGAAGATGGAAGAAAGATTGGGTCTTTTTGTTATTCAGCAGAATGTGAAGAAGAAGAAAGGGCTTTTGCCTCTTCAAGACCTTCTTCTTCTTCAATCTACTCGGAGCTGTGGCATGCCTGTGCTGGCCCACTCACCTGTTTGCCCAGGAAGGGGAACGTTGTGGTCTATTTCCCTCAAGGCCACTTGGAACAGGCTTCTTCTGCTTCTCCATTGGAGATGGACTTCCAGTCTCTTGGAATCCATCCCCAGATCTTCTGCAGAGTTGAGGATGTTCAGCTTCTTGTGAGTTCATGAGTTTCTTTGATTTTTTCCCCCTCTTTTTATGTAATAGTGATTTTACTATATTTATCTGTTCCAAAATTGCAGGCTAACAAGGAAAATGATGATGTCTATACACAGCTTACTCTTCTCCCTATACCAGAGGTATTAAGGCTCTCTCTCTCTCTCTCTCTCTCTCTCTCTCTGTTTGGTGTCAGTGTTTTGGCATATGGTGGGATTAGGAGGGTGAAATTTTGTGTGGAAAAGAAAATATAGAGGAAAGAAAGAAAATGTGGAGCATTCACTTAGGATACATTCATGATTTTCATCTATTTCTACTGTTTAAAGATTAAGAAACCTATGCATATTTAAAAAAATAGTAATATCTGAAATTCATTATTCATGTTTCATTTTTTTTTTGAATCTCCCATGGTAAAACCACGCTCAAGAGTATAACTTTTGTTAGCTTTTCTTTCTCAATTCCTTTAGCATTTTCAGGGATCCAAACATACCCTTGTAAAGAAATTCAAGTAGTTTACTTTGATTAATTTATTGCATTTGGGGTTTATACATACAGCCACTTGCTATGAGCCAGGAAGGTTTGGGTATGGAAGAGGATGGGCTGTGTGGAACTGCCCCCACCATAAAACCAACCTCCCATATGTTCTGCAAAACCCTCACGGCTTCCGATACGAGCACTCATGGAGGATTCTCAGTTCCTCGCCGAGCTGCAGAAGATTGTTTCCCTCCTTTGGTACATTGCTATCCCATTCTTCTTCTTCTTCAAATGCAATGAAAGAGAGGCAATGTTAATGTTTTTTTGTTGGATTGTTTATTATTCTAATCAGGATTATAAAGAGCAGAGGCCATTTCAGGAGCTTGTTGCTAGAGACCTGCACGGCGTTGAATGGAAGTTCAGACACATTTATAGAGGTACTGAATACATTTTGGTTAGTTCTTAAAAAAATTGTTTGTTCAATGTGGAATCTAAGGGCTTGTTTGGTCGATTTCGCTTTCCTTCCAACCATCTTAATATAAGAATAGATTAATTAACTAAATCTTAGTGTAAAACCAAACGATGGCTTAAAAGATCGATGCTTCTTTTTATTAGGCCAGCCGAGGAGGCATTTGCTCACCACCGGATGGAGTATCTTTGTGAGCCAAAAGAATCTAGTCTCCGGCGATGCAGTTCTGTTTTTAAGGTACATAAAAACATTTCATTAGTTGGTTCATTATCGGTAAAACTTTCAATTGTTTTATTATTAAAAAATCTGGTTTTTTTTTTCTTGTAGGGGAGAAGGAGGAGATCTGAGGCTGGGAATAAGAAGAGCTGCTAGGCCAAGGCATGGCTTGCCTGAATATGTAATAAAGACTCAAACTTCTTTCTCCAGTGTGCTCTCTGAAGTGACAAATGCTCTATCTTGCAACACCACATTTAATGTCTTTTATAGCCCAAGGTATAGTAATTGCTCTGACCATTTTGTTGGTGAGTGGTTATTGCTGCTGAAGGCTATGGAAGTAATTTTGCATGGTTTGATAATGCAGGGCAAGCCATGCTGATTTCATTGTCCCATACCAAAAATATGTAAAGAGCATCAGCAACCGGATACCCATTGGAACAAGATTCAAAATGAGATTCAACATGGATGATTCCCCTGAAAGAAGGTAGGACAAGAACTTTTTGTCTTGCCATTTATTCACATTTTCTTTTTCTTCATGATAAAAGATTCAATCTTTTGCAGGTACAGTGGTGTCATAACAGGAGTTAATGATCTGGACCCTTATCAATGGCCTGGTTCAAAGTGGAGATGCTTGATGGTACGCTGTAAACGTGTTTCATTTGCACATGATAAACTGATTTGTTTTCTTTTGTTCTTGTTGCAATTGCATTCTAACTTAGTTTTTTTTGGCATTCATTCGCAACAGGTAATGTGGGATGATGATTTTATGAGCAATCATCAAGAACGGGTTTCTCCATGGGAAATAGATTCTTCTTCGGTTCCATTTCCACCGCTTAGTGTCCAGTCTTCTCCTAGAATGAAGAAGATGCGAACCATTCAGCATGCAGTGCCACAGGAAAGGCATTTTCCTGGTATGCCTAATACTCCATTAATGTTAAGTAATCCAAATGAACAATAAGGGTCTGTCTGGAAAGGGTTATTCGATTGAATTTTTTGAGAGATAAAAACGTTTGGTACACCCATTTCAGAACAATTTAGTTGGTGCAGCCAAATGGAGCCATAAACAGATTTTTTCTTTTGGCGCAGGAAGTGGTGGTGCTGTATTGGACTTCGAGGAGTCTTTAAGGTCCTCAAAGGTCTTGCAAGGTCAAGAAAATTTACGTTTTGAATCACCTCTGTTTGGAAGTGATTTTGGGAAAGCTAGCTGCCAGAAGGGTTTTGATAGGCAACCCTATGGCCAACAGAATCTTGTTTGTGGCATAGGAAAGTCACAAATGGGTGACTATGTGAGAACTCACCACCCTCCTGCCATTCAAACAGGCTTTCTGGAATCCAACAGGTTTCCAAAGGTCTTGCAAGGTCAAGAAATTTGCTACTTGGAATCAGTAAACGTGAAAAGTGACGTGAATCTCAGTGCATGGGCCAAGCCCGATTACGGTTGCAATTTCAAGAGCTTCTACCCGCTCGGCTCTGATGGTGCGGTCAGAAAGTCGTTTTTGCCCCTCAATGGGATCTATAGAGCTGACAGCCAAGACCCTTTAATGCAGCTTCCATTCTTACCTACTTACAAGATTGAAAATCCCATCTCCCCTCAAGGGAAGGAAGAGCACGTAGTTCAAAATTACGGAAATGACCCCAACCCCATGGAAAAAGCTTCGATTTTGAATGTCAAGAATGAAAAGAAAAGCGAGGCTTTGAATGGGACTGGACTGCCCTGCAGACTCTTTGGATTTTCTTTGATCAACGAGCCATCAACCCCGAGCTCACAGAGTTCTGGTAAGAGGAGCTGCACTAAGGTAACTGTCAATATGTAATATCAGCTGCTGATGGATTTGTTTTTAGTTCTTTTGGTTGGTTATTTATAGATATAGTGATGATTGGGTTTTGAAGGTTCACAAACAAGGAAGCTTGGTAGGGAGAGCTATTGATCTCTCAAGACTCAACAGCTATGATGAGTTGATGTTTGATTTGGAGAAACTTTTTGGGATGGAAGACCTCTTAAGGGATCCAAATAAAGGGTGGAGAGTTTTGTATACCGATAGTGAGAACGACATGATGGTCGTGGGCGATGATCCTTGGCAGTAAGTTCTCTTTTCTGTTTCTCTTCTCAACATAGCCGACCGTTAAGGCGGGAGAAAGGGGTAGTATTGTCATTGTACCTAGACCTTTGTTTCTGATGTGTAAATTGGCTGATGGTGATGCCTTGTTTCTGCAGTGAGTTCTGTGAAGTTGTCTGCAAAATCCACATATACACAGTGGAAGAGGTGGAGAAAATGACAGTAGGGGCAGGCGGGATGAGCGACGACACTCAGAGCTGTTTGGAGGAGGCCCCGCCGGTCCCCGATGCTTCCAAGTCATCTTCTGTCGGTCAACCGGACAACAGTGATCAAGATTTGAGGCTCTATAGCTAGTAGGACTAGGACATGCATGTTTCCATTTCATCATGGTTATACATATATATTTGTTGTGTTGTGTTGTGTTGGAAACACTCTTTTTTGTGTTACACTGGAGGTGAGGTTATTTTTCATGTGCCCTCAGTAATAATTTTCCCACTCCCATGCAACAAACTACATATATGCTGGAGGAAAGTGTTTTTTTTTTAAAAAAATTGTTGTGTATAACATTGTGTTGTCTTATGGTAATGTACATTGAGAGAATGCCATAGGAGAGTTTATATTCTATGTAACCTCTTCTTTGGAGATATGAGTAATATAATATATTTACTTGGTCCATCTCAGCTTTGGTTTTCCTGCACAATATAGGTGAAAAAATGTCTTTTGGGTTCCTTATTCTCCTTACCTGGCTGATATTACCCCCCCCCCCCCCAAACTTCCCCAAAAACCCATTCACCCCCACCCACTTCGGAGCCTTCAAATGGCTCTCGATGTCTATGACACCGTTGTTTGGTGCCAAAAGATTGATATTATAGACCACAGAAAGTAAGAGTAACATTGAATGATTGGGTCTTTAATCCTTTGCAGTGGTTTGTGGAACAGAAACTGATCAAATGTTCAATTAGAGACTCAAAATCAAAGTTCTTTATGAAAGAGCTCGCGCCCGATTATCATTCTCCTGATCTCACTAGTGCCTGCCCCTATTTCATACAGCTTTGCATCCCGAAGGAGACGCCCGGTAGGATACTCATTCACATACCCGTTACCCCCAAGACATTGGATCGCCTGCAACCAAAAAACAACCTAGTATAGACTCATTTGGTAAACGTTATTGTTTAGCTGAAATGACTGGCAAGATTTTCTACAAGTGTTTGTCAAAACTAGTGGTGATAAAAGTGACGCCTGAGTGGCTCTATAGCCCATTTGGTCCATAAACCCCTCATCTGTTGTTGCCCGATTCGTTTCAGTCCATAACAGAAAAATGCTCAAAATGTGGTGAAAACAACCACCATATAGTCCTCTTTACCTGAAGTGCAACTTGAGTGGCTCTTTCAGCTGCACAAAGTATTACACCTGCACAGTCCTGATACAGTTCATGGAACGTTAAAATCAATGGCCAAACTTATTCTCAACTTTATTTAAATAAAATAAATCAGAGAATGCCATGTCGGGTATCTCCAAAAAGGTTGGGGAAAAAACAGGCGAAGCGATAACTGAAGGAAGGAGGAAGAAGAAGATAGCATCAGACCTTTGGATCGACCTTCCCATTGTCACAGTCCCTAGCAACAGAATACACATATGATCTGTGCAAATTACATATAAAGAAATGTGGTTTTTTTGAGAACTGAATAGTATATGAAACTGTGGGGGACAAATTTAACGACAAAGAGGAGAAGCTAGCTAGCTACATGACCTTGAGGACTGTAAGGCTGTATACATGTCGGCAACTTTCCCCTGAATAAATTGGTGTTCACCAATGGGCCTCCCGAATTGCTCTCTCTGGCGAACGTATGGGAGTGCCACATCAAGACAGGCCTGCATGATTCCAACAGGCCCAGCAGCTAGCACCAGCCTTTCCAAATCTAAGCCCGACATCATGACATAAACTCCTGAAGAGGTAGACAAGCCATGCCATCAATGGTCAAACACTAAAAAGAAGTTTTTATATGTTTATATGTTTCTATTATATATAAAGACAACAACAATAGAGCATTACAAACTAATTTTGCTTTTCCAGATTCCAAACTTGCACAACGGTTTTGCATGTTTTAAGAAAATGCTATTGGAACCTGAATGAATTACATAAACATTGAGAAGTAAAATAAATAGAGCATTTGTTGGCAGGTCCAGTACCTTTCCCTTCCTGCCCAAGAACATTCTCTTCAGGAACAAAGCAGTTTTCAAACACAAGTTCACACCTGCAAGGTAGTGTTAGGTCATTTTCCAATTCCCACAGTAGAGTGAGTAACTAAAACATATATATGCATTGGCTTTATAGGCAAAAGACTAACGTACGTATCACTCCCTCTCATCCCAAGCTTGTCGAGTTTCTGGGCAGTACTGAAACTGCAAAGAACAATAAATAATGTAGAGTATGGACCGGAACACAAGCTCTAGGACATATTGTTAGATACAAGTGAAGGTGCTTCGTACTAGGAATGAAAAATCACTATTTCGGTCACTCAATAATTGTGGAGGTATTCAACTTGAGTATCTTTTGCAATTTCATATAAGCTTGAATTTGTACCCATTAATGGTCTTAGGGAAACAACCTCTGTGTTTTTTTTACACGGGTAAGCCTGCATACATTTCTGACCCCCTAGACCCCAATGGAGTAGGGTTTATATTGGGTTTTGTTGTTCTATGCATTTGTATTCTTTTTTTCTCTAAAAATAAGCATGTGGCTGTTAAAAGGCGCGAGAGACTGAATTGACAACTTTTTATGAAATTGAGGGGCTGAATTTTACCAACTCACAAAGTTGACAACTTTCAACAAGTCAATAAGGGACTACACTGCAGGATATGAAACAATTCAAGGACCAAAACAATGATTTCCCCTACTAAAGATAAGGCAAAATTACTCTAAGTTGGAAAATTGCATTTTGGTCCCTTAGTTATAGTGTAATAGACAAATTGGTTGGTCAACTGCACTACAGCAGTAGTTAAAATGCAGTCTTTTCCAAATTAATCCATCTAAATATATTTATTTTGTTAGTATACTTTATCAGTATAAAAGTGCATACCCAGTCATTCCCTTCTCAATGATAAAAGCCGTGATTCCTTTTGAGCGCTCGGCCATATCTGTTTTAGCATAAACAACCTATCCAATGCAACCCATCAATGTTGGACCTTAAAATATACTCCAAACGTCCCATTTTATTGTACCTACTTTGACTGAGCTTAGAACTTAGTAATGAAGAATAATACCAGCGTCTGAGCCACAGGACCATTGGTACACCACATCTTATTCCCATTCAGAAGATAACCTCCATCAACACGATCAGCTCTACATTTCATGCTAACAACATCCGAGCCAGCTGAAAAGGGAACCATATGTATTACAAACCATTTGTTTCAACAAACAAAAAAACTTATGAAATATTGCAAATGGTTTAATGAGAGAAATAAAATTGCAATGAAATTTTCAGGAAACTTACCATTGGGTTCACTCATGGCAAGAGCCCCGACATGTTCACCACTAATTAGCTTCACCAAATAAATAGAGTGAACCCATTAGACAGTGAATAAATTCATAACTTACTGAAACTGGGGAAAAAGAACGTGACTTGTAGCAAAGAAAAAGTTTGAAATAATCAATTTGCAATTGTTAAAGATTAAGAAGGAATGATGGGTTAATACGATGTTAAAATGAACTAGCTAATCAAATTTAGTCTTTTAGTATTCGACCCAAGTTTCTCATGACCAAGTTGAGTGACCACAACACAATCTTAAATTCTATTAGCAACGAATAAGAAATTTTATCATGAAGTCCTATTTATCGAAGCTCAGAGTGAGCCGGACATCTAAAACCATCAATAAGACCATTTGCCATTGGTTCTTTTGGTTCTTAAAATTTCACTTTTAGGTTCATATTGTTGTCAAACAGTGGATCTAAAAATCCATGGCTCTCATACATGAACAATGTGGTAAAGACACAAGCCATGTTTCACTGGCAGTACTGAAAAACTACAATTAGTCTGCCTCCTTGTATTTCTAAGACCACCCTTAGGCAAAAGGTTTCACTTTAGAACCGACACGACTATTAAGAAAATCAAAACTGTATAATTGAGACTTATGCAAAGGAAAGATAAATAATATGAACAACACAATTTTTGCCTTAAAAGTGACCTTTTTTCGGGACAAATGAATAAGTAAACGTGGAAATTTTGCAGGACTGAACAGGTATCATTTATCGCATCTCACAGATTTCCAAAATATTTATTTAGACATACATCATAGCATTCATTAAACATAGAGAAGGAACAGAAGTCAATCAAGAAGATAAAAAATACCTTTGGCAAATACTTTTTCTTCTGATCAGGATTTCCATTCCTCACCTACAAGATCTTAAATATTATTACACTGGGGAAGCGACGCACATACAGTTTTGTAAAAATAACATTTGGAGTTAAAATTCTTTACCAGCTGATTGATGCACAAGTTGGAGTGGGCACCAAACGAAAGGCCTACTGAGCCCGAGGCACGACTAATTTCTTCCAAAGCTATACAGTGATATAAATAACCAAGGCCGAGCCCTCCATACTCCTCTACGAAAACCAAATAGATGATTGACAATGTTTTAGCTTCGGGTAGCAATGAACTAAATCAGAATGACACATTAAACTTCCCTTTGCTTCTTAGTTCTTGCCAACTATGAAGTTTTTTTTTATAATAAATGACCCAACAAACCCCAATGTAGTTGCTATTACACTGGATTTTAATGTATTTTTTAAAGATTCACATAAAGAATATTTTAGAATGTGTTTTTTCTCTATAGAATCATGATTTTACTCCACTAATCACCGCATTGAATGAAAATGATTTGCTTAATTGAGGCCTCAAACGATGAACGATGATAGATTACTTACCCTAATATCTAAAAAGCTAGCTATGGTATAATAATGTGTCCTGCAAAAATCCATCTTAGCTCAATTTATACCTGGAGCCGTAATTCCATGGAGATTGAAACCTCCCATCAATTTCCATAAATTAACATCCTGAAAACACAATCACCACAAAATCCCCATAATTTCTTCAAGAAAAAAAAAACACAGAGGTTTTTGTTTCTTTTTTTGTCAATCTACCTTGGGAAAACAATTTGTTTTGTCTATTTCTTCCGCTCGAGGAGCAATATGTTCTTGAGCAAACTGAGCCACGCTTTCTTTGAACTGAAATCAGAAAAGAAATAAAAATCAAATCTTTAAATTTCTTTAAAAAAAACCAGCAAGAGAATGGGGATGCAGAAGTGACCTGAATCTGGGTATCATCGAAAAGTAAAGAAGTGGAGAAAAGGGATGCTAGCTGATGCCGGGTCCGATTTTTAAATAACGCAGGAGCTAAGGACCTGATGGCAAATAATTTATGCATTTTGATCACAGTGGTGAGTGGGGGGCTGGGGGTTGCAAGATACATAAGAGTGACAAAGATGATCAATCACTATTGAGCTCCAAAGAAGTACAGAGGATATATATCCACTATTTTTCTATCATCATCTTCTTCTTCTTCTTTCTTTTTTACAAAAACTAAATATTCTGCTAAAAACAGCAAGAGGATATACTCCATATAAAAGATGGCATCACTGATGATGGAGATTTGGATAAGTTCGCATCACTAATGACGGAAATTTGGTATTTTACCATAACACCATGCGAGTATCGTTCAAGCCACCTTTTTGCTCATGGATGACATTACAGGTAGCATTCGGATCAACCGAATCGGTTTCAGATTAGATTTTTTCGGTTCAGATATTTTCCGGATATATGTTATAATCAGTTCGTATCGGTTTAATTTTGGTTCGGATTTGATTCGCTTATATACATTTTTTGTTTCGGTTCGGTTTTGAGTCGGTTCGAATATAAATCGGTTAGATAGATTTCAGTTCAGATGCAATTTGGATCAGATGTATTTTTGATTTGGATATGTTTCAGTTAGGATATATTTCGGTTGAATAAATTTGGTATATATATGATTTTCTAATTAAAATATAATTATCCATTTTCTTTTTTTGTTTTATCACAATTATTAATCTATCATCAATTCAACACTTTATATTATTTTATATTTTTTAATTATACTATCTTCACCCTAAATAATCTTTCTTTTTTGATTTTTTAGTCGTAGTTAAAAAATTTGGACTACAAATTATGAAAATAAATATATTTAATTATGAAATAAATTAATATAATAAAGTTTATTTTATAATTTAATTTTGATATATCAAATTTTTATCACATCTACTAATATCTTTATATTTATAAATGAAAAGATAAAAGATAAATTTAAATAGTATTACACTCCGATTGAATACAATTTGGTAAAAATTGAGTGTAATTAGGTAAAATTAAGTGAATTTTATTTTACACTACTCCTAAAAATTCATAGAATTGAATAAGATTAATACAATTGAGTACAAGTTTTATAAATCATTTGAGTGTATTTTGTTGAAATTAGATAAAATTAAATTCAATAGAGTCAAATATAATTAATTTTACACCTAAATTTAATGGTGTAGATGAATTTAAATTTGAAAATGATAACACTAAATGTTGTTGCTAGAGAGCCTTTTCAAAATGATAATGCTAACATCTAACGTTATTGAGTAATATTCTGTGAAATGGTTTGAAACTAATCAAATTAACTCTCAAACCAATAAAATTTATTGTAACTGGATAAAATTAGGATAAAATGATTAAAATCTAGTTTTTTCATGGAATTCATCATATAATCCTTCTGTCCCAAAAAGAATATCACACTTCACTATTTAAAAATTACAGAAGTTTTATTTATTTGTGCGTTTTCATTGATTATATGATAAAATAAACTATTATTCTTGTAACCTCTTATTATGTGATACGCGCGCATGGGTGGAGTTGTCCGTCCAAGTCCCGGCGCAACCGGCTTCTACAGCGGCTTGGAGTGGAACGGTAGGGGGATTAGGATTTTTGAGAGGGAGAGAGAGTTTCTAGGAGAGGAGGATTATTTTCATTCAATGACCTTGATGTTCTATGTACGTGCATCTTTTGTAGGTGTATATTCCCCAAACCCTAAAGTAAAAAAAAACTAACTTGTCGGTTCAATAAAAGCATCAAGGGAATGAACTGAAAAGAAAACCCCTGAATGGGCTTATAATTAGCTGACCTAGTAAAATCTACGTTACAAATAATTTAAACAAAAATGACTGTTAAACATAGTCCTCGTAGCATTGCGGTGGTCGTATATGTCGTCGGGGTCACCCGACACTTCCATGTCCTCATGCTCTATCACTTGGTCGTCCCGGATCGTATCAACTCCTCCCGACTCGAGAACGACCTTGTCCTCAAGGCGAAGATGTTAGAGTGTCATCCCACATCGAAAATTCAAGAGCAAAAATAATCAGTATATAAGCTCTTGAGTTGAACTAACTAATCGATTGAATTCAATCTTTTAATGTGGTTCAACCCAAGTGTCTTATTGCCCAATCCAGTCCTAACTTCTATCAGAAGATCAGGGTAATGTCGCACCAACTCCGCTACAAGCTCCCAAGTTGCGTCTGCATCTGTACCATCCGACTAGTGGACCAACCACTATTCCTGCGATTCACCCTCCACCAAAACCTTGCGACGGGTGATGGCGGCCTCTAGAGAACAAATCGACTGCCCTTTAAAGAAGTCCACTGGGAGTGTTGCCGCGGGGGCACTGCCATCACGAGGGACAAAAGGTTTCAAGAGGGAGACGTGAAAAACGTTGTGAATCCGACACTCCAATATTTCAAACGGCCCGTAGTAACGTCGGGCAAGCTTTGATGACAACGGCATAGCCACCGAATGTTGGCGGTAGGGGCGGAGTTTAAGAAAAACCAAATCCCCAACCGCAAAGGATACCTCTCAAGGATGTTGATTAGCTTGTGAACGCATCCACTGCTGCATTTTGATGAGATTGGCCCGAAGATCGGCCAGTAACTCTACGCAGCATTATTGTCTCAAGGGGAGAACAAAAAGAAATAAAAATATAAAAACAGTCTTTTTCTTTAACTCTATATTTTATTTCATCTTTCGGTCCGCTATTTTTTAAAGTCCTTAAAAAATTATTTTACTCTTAAAAATAAATAAGTTAGAATTTTTAATTAGAGATAGAGCGAGTATATGTTATTTAGTTTTTATTTTATTTATTTTACTTTTACTTATAATGAAAAAGTATATTTTATTTAATTTTTAAATTTTTCAATTTTTTGAAACATTTTGTAAAAAAATTTATTTTTTTGAAAATTAAATAAATAAAAAATTTTAATTTGATAAAGAGGGCGTATATTTTTATTTTATTTATTTGTATAACAAAAAATGCAAATAAAATAGTGAAATTTGAAGATAGAGAAAAACCAAGGACAGAAATGTCATTTCATGTCTAAAAATAAGTGAGAGGGGGCGTATGTGCACTATTTAAAAACAACATGAATTTTACAAATAATTTTTGAAAATAGAGAGGCCGGGTGTTAAATATATTCTATATTTATGTTAAATATATATTCTATATTAATTGTACAAATATTGTTTCCTATTGTAGAATTCTACCATGATTAGGATTAGGAAAAAGTTGTATATATAAACCCATGTACTCCCACTTTATTGTTTAAGGAAAAGCATAATTTTCATGGTATCAGAGCCGTAATTCTCAAACCAAAAACCCTAACCCTACCTCCTCTCCCTCGCTTTCTCGGCGTGCCCTCCTCCAGCCGCACAGTCGCCGCCGCCCTCCTCTCCTCGGCGGACTGTCCTCGGCGAAGGCACAGCCCCACGTAGGCAACCCCCCCTTCCTCCCTCAATATGGATTCCTCCGACAAAAATACAGAAAATTCAACCTCCTCCTCCTCCTCCAATCCCCCTCATCTCGCTTTCACCACAATCTCCAACGTCAAGCTTCATGTCCTGATCCAGCTGAGCTTCTCTCAGCCCAATTACAAGAAGTGGAACCAGCTTTTTCTTCTCCAGGTGCGCCGGTTTACTCTCCACGGCTTTCTCTCGGGTTCTTCATCTCCCTCCTCTGCCGATGATGATGAATGATACCAGCTTGACGCCCTGATCCAAGGGTGGATTCTCTCTACTATTTCTGACGAAGTCTCAGATCTGGTCATCTCCATCACCTCCACCGCAGCTGAATTATGGCGGGTTATTCATGCACTTTTTCATGACAACAAGCATGCTCGGGCAATGCAACTCGAGCACCAGTTCCGAACCACTGTCAAGGGTACGATGACTATGGCCACATACTGTCAAACCCTGCAGAACATTGCCGATTGGTTGGATGATGTTGACGCCCCGATCTCTAAGTCTGAACTCGTGCTCCAAATGCTTCGGGGGCTACCTGAAGATCTCTAGGCTCAGACGTCGTTCCTATAATTCCAACAACCGCTGCCCAACTTTCTTCAGACCCGATCTGCCCTCCTGGTCCTAGATCGGCAACGGCAAAGCATCGCGGACGATGCCGGGACAGCCCTCTTGGCCGGAAGAACCGGCGGCCCTCCTTACGGCACCGACAGCGCGGCTTCGGGCGTGACAGTGGAGCGCCTGGCAGCGGGCACAGCGACGGCAGTGGTGGCCGCGGACAGTAGGGGCGCAACAACAGTCGTGGTGGAGGCGGCCGTGGACGTGGACGAGGAAGACACTCTGGCTCGCAACGACATCCGCATGACGGCTACGTACCTTGGAACAACTCACCGCAAACCATCCCCGGCTCGGGTCTCCACGGCCCGCGCCCACCCAACCCTACCCATCCAAA